CCCCCCCCCCCCCCTCCCCGCTGTGGGTTTGGCAGGGTTTCCCCCCAGGCGCTCAGCTGCGAGCCCCCATGTCCTCCCCTGACCCCCAGCTCCCCCCAGCTGAGCAGGGGGCTCTCTGAGCTGGTGGGGGGGGATCAGAGCCAAGGAGGGGGCCTGAGCGGTGTTTCTGACAGTTCTGTGGGCTGCAGGACCTGCTTCTTAACCTCCGCATCCCCATCCCGGCTTCCTCCAGCTCCCACCCACCTCCCTGCCGCGCCGCTGGCTCCAAAAGTCCTGTTTTCCCTCCCTCCCTCCTTCCCTCCCAGAAGTTGAACGCTGGAGGAGCAGCTGCGGGCGACTGGGCGTCCCCCAGCCAGAGTCCCTGCTCTGTCCCCACCGCCTGTGGCCCCTCGCGCCCTGTGTCCCTGCGCGGTGTGGGGACAGTGCCCAGGGGTCTGGGGGAAGGAGCAGGGGGGGGACAGAAGGGGTGTCCCCAGCACCTGAGGGTCTCCCCCACGATGCCACCCCACGGAGGGGTGTTTGTGGGTCTCTGGCTGCTGCTGGCCCCCAGTCTCGCTGAGCCCCCCTCTGGCTCAGGGGGGGCCACCCTAGCCTTCGTCTTTGACATCACTGGCTCCATGTACGACGACCTGGTGCAGGTGATGGACGGGGCCTCACGCATCCTGGAGCGGACGCTCAGCAGGAGCATGAAGCCCATCAGCAACTACGTGCTGGTCCCCTTCCACGACCCAGGTACAGCTGGGACAGGGCGAGGGCAGGTGTCCCACCCGGGATGGGGCTGGGGGGGAGGTGGGCTGCGCTTCTGGGTGGGTTTGGGGCTGCAGCGTGCATTTCCCAAGCACCTGCACTGTCCCTTCTCCCTGTTTTTAATGTCCTGGTGACTGCTGCGATGGGGATGGCAGTGCAGGATGAGCCGCAACTCGGGGGCATGGTGCTGGGCAGGGGATCCCGTCCCCAAGCCTTCCTGTGGGTGCAGGGCAAGCTGTTTCCCACCGGATGAATCCCAGTGATGCTGGCAGCCACCTGGGGGGGCATTTCTGTACAGGTCACCTCAATAAAAGCACCACTCACTAAGAGGTTTTGGTAATTTACTGCAATACCAGAATCACTTCTTTCCGTCCCAGACTTGGGATTTTTGTGCACACCCATAAATAGCAGCTGCTCTGCAGAAGAGCACCGACCCCCTACAAGGAGAGTGGGACTCAGGCTTTATTTTCAGTAGAAACGCTGAGTTTGAATGAAAATCGTTGGAGCCAGAGAGGGAAGGAGGCAGAGGCAGTAAATGGGTTTCTGCATCGCTTTGCTGGGAGCCTCCCCAGCAGGAAAGGGCGCTGGGTTTGCGGCTCACCCTGGCTGGGACAGCCTGGGGTGTTGGGGACAGCTTTCCCAGGGCAGGAAAAGACCTGGACATGGGACTGGTGTGCCCAAATCCACACCTCGCTGGGTGCCAAGCCAGGGTAGATGCTTAACCCTGAGTCTCGCAGGGGTGGGTGCTGGGGCGGGTGCTGGGGAGCTCCGGCAGTGTGGCACTGGCGGAGGCTGGTGCCGGTGGTCAGGAGGGCTGAGGCAGTGGTGTTGGTGTGCTTGCAGAGGTGGGACCCGCCACCCTCACAGCCGACCCCCGGCTCTTCCAGCGGCGCCTGCGGGAGCTCCACGTCCAGGTAAAGCGTCCTCAGCCCCGCGGCGCTGAGCCAGGGTGGCTTTGTGCGTGGCCCTTGGTGGCAAGCCTGTTCCTGTGCAGTGGTGGGTCCTAGTCGCAATCCCTGCTCCCCTCCAGACCTGGTGTCCCCCAGGAGTGTGGTGGGGGCTTGGGGCTGAGCTGGGCTTGCTGGGGGCTGAGCACACTGTGGTGGAGCAGAGAGGGTAACGCTGCCCTGTGCCTCAGGCTCCTGCAGCGGGACAGAGTGCTCTCAGTTCACAGCTCTTGTCCCAGAGTGGGAATGCTTTCCAAAAGTCTCTTCAAGAAGTGCTGTTTGAAAATTGTTTGAGGTTCTTTGTTTGGTTGGGGTTTTTTTTTAAACAATTTCAGCTGCATTCTGCCAGCTGAAACGCTCTTCAGGAGTTTAATCATGCTTTATCCATCACCACTCCTGCCCTGGCTCCCGTGCATTGCTAAATCCCTGTGGCGTTTCCCTTCAGATGCAGCTGTGTTTTGGCAGGAGGTGTAAAGCTGCGGCTGCAAATCCTTTCACAGCCCTTTGGGGTTGCAAAGCCCCGTGGAAGCAGGAGCTGGCCCTCACTGTGCCTCTGCGCTTGCCTGGGGCGGCCAGTTCTGCTGCCATGTGGGGGGTGACGGGGTGGGCTGATAAAGGTGTTCATGGAAAGGAAGCCAGTGGCTTCTGTGAGTCTGGATCCCCAAATGAGTGGTTTAATCATCATTAGCAGTGAGACGGGGACAGGCCCTTGACACCCCATGTGCTCCTGAGACACCATCACGCTGCTCTGGCTGTGCTTGGGCTGACTCCAGCAAAGGGGTGCGATTCCTCCCCTTGAGCAGACCCTGGGTGGGATCCTGCCAGGAGCTCAGTGGGGAAGGGCTGAGCTTGGGGCCTGTGCCACGTCCCTCGCTGTGTGCCGCAGGGTGGAGGGGACTGCCCGGAGATGAGCGTGGGAGCCATCAGGCTGGCCGTGGAGGTCTCGCACCCTGGCTCCTTCATCTATGTCTTCTCGGATGCTCGGGCCAAGGACTACGAGCAGCAGGAGGAGCTGCTGCGGCTGCTGCAGCACAAGCAGACCCAGGTGAGTGGTGCTGACCGTGGGTCCCCTGCCACAGCCAGCTTGGGTGGGCGCTGCAGCAGCACAGCAGCAGCTCCTGGCAATGAGCTGCAGCAAGAAACCCCCCTATGCTGCCTGTTAGTGGGGTGAATTTTGCCTCCCCCGGGCTGGCTCGATGTGCTGGGGGCTGGTGGACGCTGGC